ATCTATATCCTGATTGGGCTATAGATTTTCTTGATATCCCAATCGGGATATCGAATTATATCCTGATCGGGATATAATTTCAAACTATATCCCGTTCGGGATATAAAAAAAATTTTGCTGCAAAAAAAATGATATCCCAATCGGGATATATATCCCGATTGGGAGTATATCCCGATCGGGATATGTCTCCATACTGTATGGTAAAACTATTTGAACTATATGATAACTGATTAAACGTTTTTTATTTTACTAAAAAACGCTTTTGGGTTTCTTAGAATACGAATTAGCCATGATTTAAAAAACCCTCAATTTTTTGGTATTTTAAAATACCCCAAAGATTTTTTCTGACATTAGAAAACCTCCGACATTTTTCACAACTTAGTTCAGCCAGATTTTAGACAACGAAAATTAGTTTTTTGATAAGAATAAGAAACGTTTAAAGAGGCATGATATTGTTTTACTTTATAAACGTATTTCACGGATGACTATACCTATTAGGGTGTTTTGAAATGTCTTTCTGTTTTTAGAGAGCATCATCTTTCTTCAGAATATCAGCTGATAATAAGCTTTAGATCAAGAATCTTTTTAGGAAAAAAAGAATATCCGTAAAAATCAATTAAATCTCATAGCTTGAATAATTCCACTGTACTTTATATTCTAAATGTTTCTGATCTTTCCTAGCGCCATGACTGTATAATACATTCTACCTCTTTACAATGTCATATTTTCAAACTGTACAGACTGTAAATACGTGGTATTATGAAATGCTTCGCACTATACAGTATGTTCGAAGTATCGCAACACTATGCATTCCAGCATTGATCGTGCACCACCGGCATTTTCAATTGCGATTGTTATTTTATAATAGGTACAATGTCACAAATCATTGTGAATTAAACTGAAGTAGAGAATCACAGATTGAACATTTAGAAACGGATGAAGAATTCTGCCGAATGAACAGAGTAGAAAATTACTAAAATTAAAGTTAGTTCTCTTGACACATGTGAGTGCTGCGTTTTGATTGCATTTCATTCCGTAATGTTGTTACATAACACTACTGATCACATTTTTATCTCACGATTTCTTAGAGAATGCGTGCGTTCTCTTTTCCTTTTCTTTTACCTATTTTTTCACAAGTTTACTGCGTATTCGTTCTACTGCATTGTGTCTTTTTCTCTCTTGTTTTGAGATATAGTAAAACATCCGGTTGTTTGCATTTATGTATTTTTTTCGCTCTTTTATAGTTTTCTTCGTCAAATTTCATTTTACATGTATATAGCCATGTTCACCAATCAGTTAGTTATTATAGTTCATATCACAGTTTGTGTGCACAAAGTACGCATCACATCATCCATAGTTTGTTTATATTTTTGTGTTTGCCACAATACTTTCGTGCAATCGAAATTATCAGTTATCAATGTTCAGAATTCCAAGTACTAGAGATTAGTCAAATGAAATTATTATTAATAATTTCTTTTCGTAGTTTACAGAAGTCAAAATTTCTAATTTTTCCAAAACTTTTCCATTGTAAAATTTTATTTGACATCCAAGCAAAAGTATTGATTCACTTACGAAGAAAATTTTTTTAAAGAAAAACTTATAAGGATGAGAATTATATTATTAGATAGCTGAACTCTTCAGCTACATTCTGATAATAAATGATTTTCAATAGCTTTACTTTATAGATGTCAAATAAAATTTTACGATGGAAAAGTTTGAAAAAAGTACAGTTTTAAAAAGTGGTTCTATTGATTTCAGTTGAGAAATACGGAGTAGAATTACGAAAATAAAATACTTAACAAGTAGCAGAAAATGCTTCAGAAAGTGAGAAACGAAGGCACAAATGAGTGTATGGGGTGGCAGGGTTGAGAGTGAGCTACCGAACAATATCGGGAAGAGATGCAACTTTTTGAAAGAATAGCTCCTGTAGTTTGTTTACGTAGTTGGTTAACTGAAGCTTAAAGTAATTTGAACAAAACATTTGAATATGCGAGATTGTAGAGCAATCCGAGTTCTACAAAATGAGACATAATGCGACTCTGACAAAGACTCCATTTAATTACAACAAGCTCAACAATCTTTACGCACTATTATAAGTACTTACACAGAAAACATATCTTGTAAGTTTTATTATTTTTCCGCATTGATCCTTTTTTTTATACAAAAATTTCTGATCGTATGACATAAAAGTTAGAACGTTTGTCTATGAAACAAAAAAAACAATCTAGAAGTTTGGTAAAGAAATGACGGAGTTATTAAAAACTTTTATTTGGTAGTGACTTTTGAAACACCCTGTAAGTTTCATATGAACTTTTTTTACAATTTCTTAAAATTTAAAAATGTACTCCCTCAAAATTTTGTTTGAGATAATTTGCCTCAAAGGTGCCATGGGATAGAAGTTCCTGATTTCGACGAGATTATTGGCTTCTGAGGCATATATCTACGCAGAAAGCATATGCAAGAATAATGAATCTATACTTTTCCTATTCCATTAGATGGAAGACAAGATGAGTGATTTTATATGCAGACGTTTGCTTTTTCCTGTTTAACAATGATGATTTAGATTAAATTCACATTCGATATATTATCAAAATACTTGTTCAATAGAAAGGACAACAATGTTTCAAACATAATTTTTCGATAGTTAAATGAATGAAATATCAGGCGAAAATTTTTAAAAGAAATTTTACTTTTTAAACAATTATCATTTTATCATCTTTGAATCTAAACCATTTTTTGATTGATAAACTAGTAGTTCAATATGTATTATACAAATTTTAGAATGATGATTTTCATATAATGATGTACAACATGATTCATTAATAATGAAAACTCTTATACGCGTAATTTTTGTTTCTTTTCTTTTCTTTTCTTTTCTTTTCTTTAGCAAATCGATCTGTAAATAAATAAATAAAAAAATACAACACGTGAACATTATTTATTCTTGACTGTCTCCGTCTATACAGTAGTAAAATACGTAAAAATATGTATAGTTATTTTGAAACACAATGCATATAATTATACCATATACTTAGATAAGATAGAAGCAAAGAAAATTATATACTAGTTTAAGCTAATTGTTCGATATTAATAAAGGTATCTGGGCGCAAGTTACATTGGAGAGAATGTGCATTTATTGATTTATTGAAACATATACATAAAAATATTACCTTTTTTAATCGTCTAACACGTTGTTTTGCCATGCGTGTCTAAAATTGCTGTATATATAAATGAAGGTAGAACAAAAAATATTTCGACATCGGTCCAACGTTTCGTTACTTTAAGAGACAACAATAAGAAGAAATTATGACCACAGAAAAGGATAGTAATAGCACATTGTTCACACATGGTACTCGCACTAATTATAGTTCTATTACTGATCAACAGCAAGAAACTAAACATCTTTCAGCATGGCATGTTTTTAAACGACATTTACCAAATCTCCTTCTTACACTTATTATGGATATTTTATTACCAATTTTATTCTATTTTCTTCTTCGTCTCTACATTGGCTCCACTTACGCTCTGTTGGTAGCAGCCTGTCCACCACTAATCATGATTATAATCAAAGCTCTTTGGGCACGTACATTTGATGTTATTGGTTTCGTTGTTATCACAGAACTAGTTATTTCTGCAATTATCACAGCTGCCACACATCATCCACGAATAAGAATTCTTAAAAGACCGTGTGCTGCAGTTGTGTTATTCATAGCTTTTATTTTTACACTCATACCGATCAAAACTAAACAATTCAGATTAAAACCAATCGTCTTCTATTTCTATGTCGAACTGTTACCAGTGGAAAAGAGCCAAATTAGAACTGAACAACCATTAGAAGTGGATTTTATAAAAGATGATGCCACACCTATTAAATCTGAAAAATGTATTTCACAAGTATACGACTGGATCTACGATAATTGTCCTAATTTTCGTTTTTGTTGTTACGAGCTGACCATATTGTGGACAATTGGTTTTCTTCTAGAAGCTAGTGGTAGTTTTGCTGTTTATTTTTCGACTTTGACGTTCAATGAAGCTATTCTGTGCATACATTCGATTGTGGCGGTTATAGGAGGTCTTTGTGCATTAATTACATTGGTACTAATCGTTTTTGAACGAAAAGAAACAATGAAACAAATATCGAAAAATATTGAAAATGGTAAATAAATTAAAAAGTTGATTAATAACAGTTCGAATTTTGAAAAGTTATCAAATGATATCATACATATTGGAACAATAGTTTCATAATAAATGGCTGGTTTCATACAAAATATGCTCAGTTCGATGCGCTTACCATTTCATGAGTAATACGTGTGTGATCGCGTTTGATTATATGCGAAGCCCGGTTTTCTAAAGGCATGAGCTGGCCTCTGATGGTGTAGAAAATTAAAATTCGAATCACGCAATCCGAAGTTAATGAAATATTGGCTTATAAGTAATGATATTAAGCTTCTGTTGTTTAGTTCAATGTGAATTACCCAAGCAAAGAGATAGCTACCAGTTTTCTATCAGATTCATTTAGTTTGTTGGACATCTTATTGTTATTTAGCAAATCGTTACGCATCATTTTAGCGAGTTTTGATATTCAAAGTTAAGTTCGATTCCAATACTGACACAGTGCGTTTCTTTCATATTCAGTTTATTGTACCTAATTATTGGCGTAACGGATGTATTTTGAATTGATTTTTGCGGTAGAAAAACAGTTAATAGTAAAATTTGCCTAATTGATGAATAAAAATCGAATAGTGCATTTAATAAATGATAATGTACTCCTATGAACCATGAACGGTGGAATGGGTCGGAAACACCCAGTCAGTCATAATCATTCTGAAAACTGCAAGATTCGTAAATTTACGAAAATTTTTACGCGCTTAGCGAATTTGTGACACAAACACGCAAGAAGCTGTGAGTATGCGGAAAATAACACACAGAAAAGCACGCGTTACCGTGGAAACAGAGCCTTACTTACGTTTTCCTGCGTGTTATTTGTATATAGTTCGCCGTTTCTTACATGTTGATATACTACATTCACTAAACGCGTTACATTTTTCGTAACTTTTGGAATCCTGCAGTTTTCGGAATGAATATGACTGACTGGACAATATGAATCCCTAGGCATTGATTAAAACATTTTCTTTATACTGGAGCTTCTTGAACACCGATCGCGTACAAATTTAAAATTACAGTGGATTTAGTTTTGCAGTTTACTGCAAAGCGAAGTTAATATGTTCGAATCTCTATTCGTACAAAATTGATTTTGTATTTTTCTATAGTTGTAGTTTAGAATACTATAATGGAATTTTTTTCCGTTGTATTCTGAAGGAACAAAGTTTAGATCAAATTTAAGTTTCATTCAAGTTATGAAACATTCTAAAGTGTCAGATGTCGAGGCCATGCGATTTTTTACAGCAGATAACTATAAGAAGTCCGCAACAATCAATTATTGACTGTAACAGCGATTTAATCTCAATGATTCTTGTCAGATGACATATGAGCTTGCTTTAATTATATTTTCGTGTGAACATGTTACCGTCAGTCACATTATAAGTTATATCTTCACTTCTCTACTAACGATCGATAAAATGTCACTGGAAACATTAAACCTATCGGTGTACTTACTCGCTTCCATTTTACGAATGAGAAGTCATTCCTTCGAATATCACAACTGATTATTTTACGTCTTTTAGAGCAAAAAATAAAAATGCTCCGCCTTGCGATACCATTAGCGGTACAGAATGTCGACAAGTGTCAGTTTTAATAGCTTAATATCTTTCCTGCAGTTGACAAGCTTCGAATATGGTCAACCATCTCGTTACTAGTCATAAACCACAGCTCTGGACAAAAGGCTGGTTTAACGCGAAGTTCTCTCACTCAGTTGCTCTCGATTTTCGGTAAGCCACGAAAATACTATCCAGAACAACTGTATTGTACGTCACAATGCAATGAGCATGCCATCGTGCAAGTGATCTGACGCACATGAATATAATGACCTTGTCCAAGATTACCACGTAATTTGTTGAAAGCAGTGCATTTGATATATGCGATGAACAACATAGCTACAAAGCCTTATGTATAGACATTATTCATTAATTTCTTTGCACATTAAAACAATCGACAATCATTACGCATCAGCAATAGAAATAAAACGATCATGAATCTAGCTGGAAGAAAAACACCTTGGATCAGTATTAAACTGTCTTTTCGTATACAATGTTGTGTCTTGTTATCAATCGATTCATTCTTTAAAGCCATTAAACGACGCATTCAGTCTAAAAAATCATCTTTTCTTAACTTTTAAACTTTGAAATTAACTTAAACTTGTTGAACTTAAAAAATTCAAGAAGAGCATTTAGTATGCTAGAGCACTTACTTCGTCGAAAGAGCATAAAAAAACTGAATGAAAAAAATGTATTTGTTTTTTATTAAAATGTAAAGATCTAAAGTTATTTCTTACTTTAAATTTTTTTCAAATACATATTCTAAGAGAAGATATTTTTAAAAAAATGATATATCTGTAGCTCTGATCAATCTTTAATTCGAATCTAAGAACTAGTCGGACATAGGAATGACCTATTTATTTATTCTAGTAACAACATTCTAATAATATCTGATTATAGAGGATTTTATCCAAGTAGTCAACAAAGTCTATTTTGATCTCGATTAGACGGAAAATTTTCACTTATTGGTCTCCTTTTCTCGAAAACTTTGTCTCTATTTATATAAGAGACTTTTAAAAGTCTCGAACAGCTGTGTAATTTCTGACGCAAATTTGTCTGAAACTATCCTAGTCCGTTTTCCCTGAAAAAATCCCCAGCGAATCACTTAACAGATCCTCCCGGGAGTTGTAAGGAAGTTTAGAGGAAGTTCTTAGGGATTTCTCAGAGACTTCCCAGAAACGAATAAATGCTGAATTCGACTCCTGCGCTCAATTTTAAGCGTAATTTAGCTTTTTTTCATCGATTTTTATCCAACTGAAATTTATATAAGGAAAACTACCACTTTCTTCCAAAATTCTTTCTCACCTGATACATCTAGTGAACCTCGTTCAGTGGACGAGTCACTTAGCTGAAAAGTTAACTCACATCGAAACGACGAGTTAACACCGACGAGTCTCGGGCGGAAGCGGCTACACTCATCTAAAAAAGAAAGAAATTAGTCTAAAAAACGAGATGTTTCTGTTTAAATTTTCACGTTTTATATATTTCTAAAGACGCAAACCAAAACGATGAATATGTTGTACTCTCTCCCCTGAGAAATCCGTGGAGAATCACCAGGGATTTCATTATATCTCCCTTATTTTCACCAGGGATTTTACAGGGAATCTCTGAGAACTCCCTAGGGATTTGACGTTTTTTCGAAGATTCACCGGGGACTTCATCAGGGAAAGTGGACTAGAGTAAGAATAAGTTTGTTCTGTATTGTCAAAGAAATAATTGCTTTTCTCATTCACGTCCAAGTTTTTTAATATAACTAGAGTCTACGCACTATGACTAAACATTAAGCAAGTTTAATCAATCACTGTAAACTGAACTCAACTTAAAACATCTCCAAGAGTCAAAAAAAATTTTTCTCTTTCACATTTGTTTTTCTAGTTTAAAACTTTGCTACGCTTCTTATACGATGTTGTCATACACTCATGTAATAGAAAATGAATTTTTTTATATTATAAATGAGTATATATTCTGTTATTGTTATTCTGTCCTCATCAAAAACACTTTTTCATTTAAGTATTTTAAAAATAAATTATATAAAACAAGGAAAATAAATTGAAGACGTGTGCAAATTTCTGAAGGAAATGTTCAAAATAATAACTTTTTCTAGCATTACTGTCATTTTAGTCTGATAGAAGAAGGAAGAACGTCTTTTTAGAGATGTTTGCTACGGTTATTATATGTCTGAGTAAGTTTATATGGCTACAACGTTAAACCCGTAAGACAAAAAAAGAACACCCTCATATTCTCATTAACATCCATGCAAACTTGAGAAAAATACATAAACTTTTGATAACGAAACAAAATGAAGTCTGTTTAGCTCAGTCGATAATAAAATTAGATTTCTGAAGGGACAGTTGCAAGCAAGGAGAGACTTCTACTTTTTATATATCCTTTAGGTTATTTATTTATCCGTTCTGTTAATAATCAAACGGCTCAGTCTTTATATACTATGATGTATGGTAATTTTACAGCTGAATGGGAAGACTTTAATCCACTAGATTGCGACATTACTACGGTAGCTTTTGAAACATCAAGTACAACAACAACAACAACGGCGACAACAACAACAACGACAACAACAACACCAACAACAACAATAACAGAAACAACAGAACTAGGTAAAAGAATTATTTAGTAGTAGACCGTCATAGCTTCATATGCTACAATTCACTTTTTTTCGAAAATATTTTCGTTCGATCTTTTGAAAATGAGACAAGAATAAACTTTGTCCGATCAATATGGTTCCTTCACACTTTGTGTTCAATATATTGTGTAGATGTGCCCTTTCAGCAGACAAAAATTTAACACATCTGTAGTCGTTGAGATATTTTGGAAATAGTCGATTTTTTCTATCTTACAACTCATACGCACACAATAGATAATTAAATAAAGGGAGACTGAGAAGCATCAAACAGGAGCTTGTATGATGCCAATCGATGCGATCGAAGCCAACAAAATCTTATTAGATTCAATTGCGTTCGTCGTATTGGGAAAGTTTACTGACAGGGTGGTTCCATGGAGTCCGTACCACGTTTACATCGACTTTGTTCGCATAAGCTGGAACCCTTTTCAAATGAATGACCCATACGTGGGATTAGTGTAAATCGAGTTAAAAAAGTTTGAAAATATCGGCATTATAGAACGCCAAATCTCGACATTTGC